TTCACCCCCCTTTTTCTCTATTAATGAATATGTACTTGATTGTCAGTCATGATCAGGAAAACAGTTCCACCCCTGGCATGGCATGTTGTTTGCATGAGGGTAATTCTGTGTTCTTTATTTGTCATGGAACCTGTGATTTGGTATGTGTGATTATCATGGCAGCAAATTAAGATGTCAGAGAGCACAACTCCTAGCTTCTAGCTCAGAGGGAGAGCCGCTAAGGGTAGGGATATCCTGTTAGCCAGATGAGGCAATGTTCTGCAAGCTTCTCCTACCAGAGAAACACTGGACAATCAAGCTATCAAGCTTGTAAGCAGGACCACCCAATGCAACATGGCTGTCAACCAAAAGTTCTTAACCTGGTCTAGTCTCTTGACAACTCTCCTTCCTAGCTTGACCTTTGCTCCCACTGGGGCCAGAGCAGAGAAGCCTGAAAGCAGGAATTCTTTTAGAGGGGCTAGACCAGAAAGTGGGTAGAAAGCCAATGACGATAATGGATGGGCTTACTAGGAGGAGAGCTCTATAAGTTACATCATCCTAGGTTACAGATTTTATAAATAATGATTGACGGGTAGGAGTCAAAGCTAAAGGCAGGGGAAAGCCTATACATGTTCCAACCTTCCTCCAAGGAAGTCACTCTGGAAGACAAAATGGTGATTAAAGAAAGACAAAGGCAAATCCAGACCACTTTCCTCTCAGACCTTCTGAATGCTCAGGCCGATCCAGCAGCCTTTCTGGAAGATGACTGTGTACTGGTAGCCACAGCTTCTAGGAGAGGATACTCCTGAAATAGTTCTGCCAGATGGTTATTCCATTCTGGAATTCTGAAAGTTCTTGGCTCTCGTGGTAACTGCAACCTGAGCCCTGTGCACAGAGAACTTGGTTCAACATTTTTCTCTCTGTTCTACCCCTGCAGCCAACAATCCACCCTAGAGCCTGGACATGGAAGAGATAAGAGGCAAACACAAACAAACGAAGCCCTCCTGGCCCTGAGCTGAGTGTGCTTGGTAGAGAAGTAACAGTGCTGACTCCATGGGGTCTGAGAACACCTTCTCCTGCCCAAGTACACTTTCTGTCAGCTCAGATGTTTTATAAATGTTCTCTGACATAAATATCTTACATTTCCTCCTAGGGATATTCTCCGGTTTTTAATTGCAATCCAGAATCTCAACAAATCACAAATGCCATAAGTAAACAAAATCAGGATGCAAATCCAATCCAGTTGAAATTGTTAATAGGGATGGGGGGGGGGAAGGGAAAGGAAAGACAAGGGAAGAACAGACCCAGAAACATCCAAAAAGGCCTAGGGTAACAGTTCCTTAGGGTGCTTAGGGTGTGGGGTTCCTAGAGGGGATTCTCCTGGTTCAGCCAGGCCTTCCCCCTGACTGCAGGGGTCATAGCCTAAGTTTCCTGGCCAGACAAAAGGGCTTTGAACATGCAGCTGAAACCCAGGAGACATTCTGGGAAGAATAAAAGATTCCAGGAGTCTTTTGGGCTAGCACACCCTCTAAGAATTCAAAACATGGTTGTGAGGTGGCCTAGCTGCCTCCCTTCCCCTCCCCCAGGCACCAATGATACAGGTTTCTGTGGAACTCAGTCGCAGAGTTCCAGTTTAGAGGACCAGAGCACACTCTGTGCCCACTGCCCACAGATTTCAAAGGACATCCTTCTAGTATACTTCTCCTTGCCGCAGGTTTCTAGAGCAGAGGTAGGAGCAATGGGGGAGGGGAGGTCGGCAAGTGGCATAGTTTGCATCTGACCTTTAGGAAAATACCACATATTTGAACTTGCTAGATGCTAGGTGCTATATTTGTTACTATCTAAACAAATTTGCTACACAGATGTTTAGAAATATATCCAAAGTTCCCATAGAAACCGTTAGTACCCTAGTTGATACTGCAAGTGGTTAATAGGACCACTGGTAACCAGAGGGTGATTTTCAAAGTGTGCCTGCTTCCTGGAGAAAAGGCCAAATACAAGGGAGGCCACCTAATGGTATTTCTGGGGACGGTCTATGATCTTTTTTTCCTGGTCAATCTTCTGGAGGATCAACCATACTGGCTGCAAACAGGAGAAAAGGATACTTCTCAAAGGTGATGTCCAAGTCCTGATCTTTTTACTCAGGATTTGGTCACAAATGGTAATTCTCGAGTCTGAAAGAAAAAGGAATCCAACGGTATAAGTAAAGTTGGAGACTGTGAGCCTCCAGTCTGTGAAGATATGGGGGAGACTGATGCTGTGGGGACCTACCCTGGCCTTAGGAAGAGAGAAAAGGTGGCTCCTTTCACCTAAAGGAATAGAGAGCGCTCTGGAGACTGAGACACCAGCGGAAGGAAGTACACTACTTTAATCTGTCTATTGAGCTGCTTTCACTCCAGGCTCTTTAGGTTCTAGGAGTCTCATCGTTGGCAACTCCGAAAGCACCTCAGGATACCCAAGTTCCCACTCTGACCGGCCCACCCACGGGCAAGTCCCCAGCTCAAGAACTAGCTCTCCTGGCTCAGGCGGGCAGACAAACTTTCACGGCTCAGAGCCTGGGCTGAGGAGTCGGAGAGACCAGCGCACACTGGCGGGGCTGGGGGCTGCTGGTCCGGGCACGAGTGGCTGGAGGGAGGCGAGGGGTGGAAAAAGGAGGGGGCAGCGGGTGGACTAATGATGAAAAAGTCTCCTCCATCCTGGCTCCTTAATTAAATGCATGGAAAGAACCGAGGCGCGCACATCTGGTTTCAATCTACAACCCTTTGATGGCATCAAATGTTCTTTTCCCAGATCAGGGCTGGAAGTTCTGGGCTAACTATGGCCGTTTGGAGCCCAGAAACCATTTATACACACTGGGACCCTTCCTCCTTTTCAATTCAATCTCATAGCTACAGGAGGAAGGGAAATCTAGCAATCAAGGGAGTGAGGGGAAACGTATGTATGTGTGTATTTCAAGAACATAAAACGCCACAAATAAGCACTTACTATTTTACTTACTGGCCATATAGTAATTCATTCCTAATGAGACTATTAAAGCTGTTACCAAATTCCAACAGGTCATGAAAATACCGTCCAGCACCTCTCTGTCCTCTATCAAGACTGGTCATAGACTTAGACCCAGGCTTCCTCAGTCTCTGTGTCTGCCAGGACCTCACCCAGCTGGACACAGATTAGCACAGAGCCTTCTCCCCACCCCCACCCCAGCTCTTTCAGCCCTGGTGCTCCTGTCTGCTCCGATTTAGGGCAACCTCGGTGCTTACCATCTTCACCAGGGAAAGTGACCTTGGCTACACTAATCGTTGGCAAGGGTAGGGGAATTATTAGGACGACTTTCCTCCGGTTTAATAAATATGTAGACTTTCTACTGTCCGAAGCCTGGGGATTTCTGGTGGCAGCGAAAGTCTCGAATCCATTCGAAGCTGAAGCCTTCTGGATCTCCCCAAGCCGTCCTTAGATTGTAGAGAGCCTCCCGTTATTATCGCTCTTGTTATTTTATTGCATTATTTAATAGGCGGTCTCTACGGAGCCAAACGAGCTTTAATAAGCTTGCTCTTTTTGCCTTTCAGTCTCAGACTCTCCTTGTGCTCTCCGCCAAAACAAAACTACAGGAAAAGTTGCTGGGGGCGGTGCAGCCGTAGATTTGACTGCTATAGATGTGCATCTTTTTCTTTTTTCTTTTTCTCTTTTTTTTTTTTTCGTAACAAGTTTGCCCTCAGCAAACTTGTTATCAAAACATGTTATCAAAACATGCAATTGAGATTTTCCAACAGGCTCTCAAACATATCCGAAGGAGTTAATGCTGAAACAAAATAATCTGCCCCGTTTTAAAGTGACTGCGGGTTACGGGCTCTTTTCTCTCTCCGATACTACTGCAAGGGAATGATAATTAGACCTTTATTTTAAAAATCCAAAGGGGCTCTCTCCTTAGCTTCCCTCCCTTTTCCCTCCCTCCTTCCTCCCTCCCTCCTCCTCTCTTGCTCCCTCCCTCTCCCTTTCTCTCTGGCTCTGATGTTGGCAAAGGGGTTTTCTTAATCAGACTGTTTTTTCGGTCCGAGGAAAAGGAGGTAGGAGATTGTGATGGAGAAAGGGGGTCTGTAAAACGTCAGGCGCCGCACAAAGGCTTTGCCACGTAATTACAGGCTCCTATTAAGTGGAGATCTGCCCTCCCAGGGGTCTCCAATTTTCTTGTATTCCCTACAAAGCCTCCTCTCCATGCCAGTCTGTGCCTTTTGAAGTGCCAGAGAGCTTCTTGATCCAACTGAGAAGGGAAAAGGAGCGCTGCACGGAGAAGGGGGAGAGAGCGGAGGGAAGGGGGACCAGCCACCCTTCTGCAGACTCTTGAAACCCCACTTCTTTATTTCTTATTTTTTTTCCTCCTTACGAAGAGTAAAGTGAGAATCCTGCTCTCTAATACATCTGCAAGACATCACTCTCCTGAAATTCTAGTCACTCCCGAGAATCCACAGGAGTGCAGAGAGGGGGAACGCGCTTTCTTGAAGACATTTTAAAGCTGGAACAAGCCTTCTTCTGTTGGTGCTTGAACTCTTGCCGGGGAATAACTTTTTTTAACCTCTTTCTCTACTTTTTTTTTTTAACCCACTTTGATTCTTCTCTCCACCCCTTCTTCTCTCTTCTGTTTGCCTAACTCCCCCGCCCTGCTGGCCTCCCCTTTCCTCTCTCCCTCTATTATTATTTTTGGTGTCTGCGTGTGGACGCTTTTTGAGAGTTGGAAGAGATATATTTTTTCCTTCTGTTTTCAGCATAGGGTGTTTGTTTTTATTTTTAAACATTTTGCTGTGGATTATCTCTCTGGACTTGGCTTAGAGGCTGCGGGAAAGTTACTTGTCCCGAAAGTTCTGCACTTCAGAAGGGGGTCTCCTCTCTCTCTCTCTCTCTCTCTCTCTCTCTCTCTCTCTCTCTCTCTCCACTCCCCCCTCTTTCTTCCCCACTCGGCTCCTCTCCCCCCCTCACGCCCACAACGTTTGGTGTTGATTCGAGCGGGAAGAGGGGGGTGGGTGGGATAGGAGGGGAGACCATGACCTCCAGCTACGGGCACGTTCTGGAGCGGCAACCGGCGCTGGGAGGCCGCTTGGACAGCCCGGGCAACCTCGACACCCTGCAGGCGAAAAAGAACTTCTCCGTCAGTCACCTGCTAGACCTGGAGGAGGCCGGGGACATGGTGGCGGCACAGGCTGACGAAAGTGTGGGCGAGGCGGGCCGGAGCCTGCTGGAGTCACCGGGACTGACCAGTGGCAGTGACACCCCTCAGCAGGACAGTGAGTGAAGGGCGCGTGCTCAGGGGAGTGTGTGCTGGGGACACCGGGTGGAGGCCCGGGAAGGGCGGCGGGAGCGTGTTCCAGGCTTTGGTTTCGGGGAGTCGAGGCGTTAAAAAGTTAAGAGTCCTGGGAAGTGGCTGGTCTCTGATCGCAGAAAGACCGATGAGAAAAAGAGGGGTCCCCCAAGGGTGTAAGCCAAGCAGACGCTGGAGAGAGGCCGGGAGGCCCAGGGACGCTGGGAGGCCAGGCGATCCCACTCAGGGACTCTGCGGTCACCACTGTCTTCAGCCGGGGCTGCATCTCGGGTTCGGGCGGGAGCAGCAGCCAGAAATCCCGCAGGCGGGGCGTCTGCGGCGGGGTAGGAGCGTCTGGCCAGAGCGCAGGCTACGCAACCACCTCGGTTAGAGAAAAGGGCAACAAAGATGCAGGGCAAGCTTGGGAGCGCTCCTTCCCTAGGGTTGAGGGGAAAACACTGTGCTCAGAGGAACCTGGAAAGGATGCAAATCCTGTATGCGTCTGACCCAAGCCTGGAAAAGGCAGAGGGCAGCGCGGGAACGCCCAGTCCTTCTCACCCAGACTTACTCTCTGACCCCTGCTGTCATCTCTACCTGTGTTTGAGACCAAACTGAAAGCCCACCTGTTAAGGCAAACCTTAATGAAGCTAGGAGAACGTTCTTTAGAAGCAAAATCGGAGAGTGCCTGGCTTGATCTAGCACCATCTTTGCACCGGGAACTCGAGGGTTGCAGGCCCAAGTCCTCCAGGGATTGGAGGCCCCTAGACCTCCAGAAACGTCTATGTACAAGCTGCCTTCCCCAGCCTTATTCACTGTCGACATTCTCCTCTCGAAATGTTCATCTCGGAGTTATTAATTTCACCTTTACAAAAAGACAGACTGCAAGTGTATGTCGTGGTCTCTTAGTATATAACACAATTGTCACCTGGCTCATCCTCTAGTCAGATGCACAGAGAAGTTGCAACAGTGTGGACCCGGCGGTGAGACATTCTAAAATGACCTCTTTCCTTATCGTTATGTGCTGATCGCTCTTTTGGAGCTTAGAGGGCCCTCTGCCATTCGACGATTCTCTCAAGACACTGTACCCGTTAGACTTCCAAATAACAATTTAAAAAAGACATTCAGAACAAACTGGCATCCGAAACAGCTGGAAAGGGTTCCTGGGCACAATGAGAGGAACTCCCGCACAGGAGAGCCCTATTTGGTCAGGGCTCCGGCTCCTAGATATGCAGCCTGCTAGGACTGAACTAGTTCAGATGGCAGTAACTTGGGGACAATCAACTCTGGATTGGGCCCATTGAGTGTCACAGGAGCTAGATGAAGAGATTTGAACTAGCCATTTGAATTATAGAAACCAATCTAAACCACACCCAGGAAGAATCAGTGTCCCTAAAACCTGGGTAAGGGCTAGGTTAGGAACTCTAGTCATTCTGCGTAGGGTTTGAAGGAGGTTGATCCTGGTATACATGCCAGCATCACATGGATAAAGTATCTGAAGCTCTAATATAAAATGGACTCCAAAATACTGTGATTATTTAAAACCTTTCACTGGGAAAAATATAAAACAAAATCTAGGAAGATATTACCTGGAATTCTGTGATTCTATCAAGAGAGTTTCCATAAGGCTCATTATTGATCTCAAAAGTTATTACTATTTGAAGAACTAATGTTAGAACTCCATACCACTATCAGCACCACCACGACCCATATGCTATCCGAACATAAAACAAGTATTACAGAAACTGCTGTGTTGAAGACCAGGGTGGGCAGGAGAGACAGGGTAATACTGCTCTTTGCTCCACAAAAGACTGGTGCATAGGAAAAGCAGGACAAAGACTGGTCTCAGCAAGCTAGAACTCCACTTTAGAAACTGTGTGGAGCTGGAAGGTGACAGAAGGTACTCTTTTCATTTGTTCATCTGGATTTTGTTTGTTTGTTTGTTTGTTTGTTCTTTAAGGAAAGCATAGGAGAAGGGAGCTTGGGGAGTGTCATGATCTTACACTGAGTCTATAGAAAAGCTAGGCAAAGGAAGCCGCTGGGGAGCTGATTTGGAGAGGCTGTACTGAACCTGGTTGAAACTGGGAAATGGTTTTTGTGAGACTCAGGTCTAGAACCACCAAGGTCACATCATGCGTATAAATGCTCTGGTCAACTTAAGGTTTTCAGGGAAGTTGGAGGACCTATTGCCCCAGAAAAAAGGACGACAAGACCTCATGAATCTGCTTGCAACCAACTCAGCACCATCTCATACTTGTAATGAATAGAGAGTCCAATGAAGAGAGGACCCAGGGAGGAAACCAGGCCTCTTAAGGCTTGCCTAGGTAAAGGACACACCAAACAGGACAGTCACCAGTCAACCTAAATGCAGGGTGGTAAGGGTATCAGTGAGAAGCACTTAGGACTTAGAAGTCAGGGAGACATACACATGTGCACAGGGTTGACTGTCTTTGCCTTTTGAGGAGATGGGCTTTCTCGGAGTTATACTAGGAAGCTATTGCTCTTGGAAGCAGATTTTTCTCAACCTTCCCCTTCTCCATAGGGGTGATAACAGGAGAATCTTATCTCAAACCAAGCAGCTCTGGGGACGCCTATCCTTACACTTGAGTACCAGGTAGAATGCAGAGGGAGTTGGGACCTGTGACTGGGTGTCACTCTCTCCTTTCCCAGCCTGTAGCAGACAGTGGAGCTCAGATTATAGGCAGGGAAGAGGGGATTCTGTACTAGAGGAGGGCTGCTGCAGGAGATCTGGCTGTAAGGGATTTAGGGGTCACAGTAGGGGTCACAAGGGGGATGGAGAAGTTCACAGCCAGTCAGGTGCTCAGAGTGAGAAAAGAAAATACCTTTCAAAGAGATGGGAAACAATGAACAGATGCTTTAGTCTCCCAGCGATATGGAACACTGGCCTCTCAATCTATCTGGAGGAGATTAGCGTGTAGGTTCTACTCACACCATCAATAATGGGCTTAATTTTGTAAAACTCCGCATTTCAACCTGGTCAATTATTATAAAAAGTTAAAAGTCCTCACTGGCCTTTCCCACCATAAATCAGTAATCCTGCCCTCTCACTCCTCCTCCTGGGTGGAGGCTGACCCCCACTCTATTTTCTTCTCTGTGGAAGGACCGCTTTTATTACTGATTCTCCCAGACCGGTGTATTTCCCTGGAAATTTTTGGTTTATTTAACACTGTTAAAAATCTATGGCTAATGTAGAGGAACGAATGCGCGGTGAGTGAACGCCGGTGATGGCAGAGAGGGGATAAGTAGGAGGGAGAGGAAGAAGTCATAAAAACAGGCAGACCTATTCTTGGGGGGAACAGTTCATCCCGCTGTCAACTTCTTAATTTCAACTTCTGCAAACTCTTAAAAAAAAAAAAAACCACGCCTGCCTTCCACGTTTCCAACCTCTAAATTAGTGAAACCAGATTGTCCTAATAAGACCTTTTGTTGGAAACACATGTAGTCATAAAAAGGTAGACGGAAAGTCAATTAGACACGCGCGCGCACACACGCACACATTCACCAGCCGGCGCTAAGTGTGCACCCGGGCACAGCTGGGCCCCGGGCCATGGTGGATGCAAATGGGGAACCACAGCGTTGCGGGAAATCGATTTGTCACAAAGACAGAGGTGTAAAGGCAGGCCAAGGATCGCCCTCCAGAACCACCAGCCTCACTCTCTCTGTCCCAGCTCCCCAGTTTCTCTAAGCCAGAGGAACGCCTAGGAGGGCGAGAACGTTCTCTAGGGCGCTCCCCAGTTGGAATCCGCATCAAAATAATATCAATTCCTTCTATCCCGAAGCGTCTTGTTTCACAATAGTTATGGCTTCACAAGTGTCTTTCGGGGCACCACCCTGGGATTTGTGCCCCATGCTGGTACTTTGAATTTGAATTCAGGGCTCAGTGATCTTAATTCAAGACGGAGATAATAAAACAAGTCCTCTTAAGGGTGGCCTGGAAAATTCTCCCTTCACTGGATCAAGGGATTAAAATTCAGGAGCAAAGGAGTCCCCAAGACTGAAGTGTAACTCAAAGGCTGGTGGCAAACTGCTTATTTTACATACTGGGGCAGAGAGCATCATGGTTGCATCCTCTTAAAAATTTCAGAGAAAAAAGACAATTTAGTAACTTAGAAGTTTGAAGACCTAGGACCTCTTGGGGTTTGAAGTGTCAGGGAATTGGGCCCAGAAGAGGCAAGGATTCAGGCTAACCAGACTCCTTGAGACTCCAGATAACCAATTGTAGACTCCTTGAGACTCCAGATAACCACTGTCCCATTCCAGGAAACCCTCCAGAGGCCATGTAGCTTCCTAGCCTTAGATTTTGCTCTGTGTGGATGAACTTTCTTAAGCGCTGGGTAGCAAAGCGGTCCCGCAGCAGATCACACCAATGTCAGTAGTTCCTTTGTCTTCCCAGGGCCATCACTCTTGATTTAACAGCAGGAGAGAATAAATCATCCCTAAACCAACAAATGCCACCCCTCATGCCCCCTGCGAAAGCAGTGAGTACTTTTCTGTTACAGGGACTCCAAGGCTGAGTTTTCGGAAGAGTTTTGGCCACTGCTCCAGGCCGTCCGCCCAAAAGCCCTATGCGCTAAATGGCGGCTATAGATTATCAACTATGACGGTCCCTAGACCAATTGGATTTTTTTATTTTAAAGAATTTACAATTCTCTTCTTATGCGGTGTTTATCGGGATTCACTACAGTAGTGAGGGGAACCTCCGCTGAGACAAAGCAGGCGAAAACACAGAGACTGTGGGTACCCAGTTGTTGCAAACTTCTGTGCCTGCGGGTCTTGCACTGTGACCCCAGGGAGCCTTCAGCTTAAGGCTCCATCCTCTTTGTATGCTGTGGAATGTTCATTTTATTAACTCTGTAGAAGAGCCACATGAGGAACCACTTTGAAACTGGAAAGGGGTATTTATAGAAAAGGAGATGGGTTTTACATTGTGTTGGGAGTGGGCAAAAAGAGGTTTTTAGGCGGACACTA